ATGTGAAGCAATCATGATTTCTAGTAACCCATTAAAAATGTTAACAGCTACATGACTGACATAGCTTATATGTTGTAATTGTCCAAGCCCACTATGTAAATCCTCCCACTAATAATCCCATGAATGGAAAATATAGGTTCTCTGAGTGACGTTTAATCATTTCCAGACAGTGGTGAACCAACACTTTGGTCTAACACTAAATTGAGGTAGATAGTTTACGGATGATGTTGTAACAAAGCCTCAGTTTTGTAAATTGAAAGTCTGGATCAAATGATCCAGAAAGCATCAAAGGTGTGAACTCATGCTTGGCAGGAAGATTTTAGTTATCGCTTCAGGGTCAAGGGGCAAGGAGCAAGCAAATGTGATAGCGTTGTTAATAATAGTTTGTGGGTAGGAGGGCACTATGGAGTGGACAGACGGGTCACCCTATGAATACAGTTACTGGGATGGAAATCAACCAGATGATGGCATCCATCGCATCCCTCAGGAGGAGGATTGTGTGGAGATCTGGTACAGACAAAACAGTGGTGAGTTCGCAATTTTTTGAATCATATAACAGAAATTAATTTAGATAATTTAGTACAATTAAGATAACATGTTAAGAAACTAACATTCAATGTCTTTGAAAGAAGTCGTGTATGCATACCAAGGCTGCAGTTTGTATTTAATCAATACAGTAAAAACAGTAATATTGTAAAATATTAAAATGACTATTTTAATATATTTTCAAATGTAATTTAACACCGTGATGGCAAAGCTGCATTTCCAGCCATTACTTCACTCTTCAGTGTCACACGATCTTTCAGTAATCATTCTAATATACTGATTTGCTGCTCGAATAACATATTATTATCAGTGTTGAAAACATGCTGCTAAACTTTTTGTGGAACCAGTAATAAGAGAGATATATATATATATAGCTGATTGACAACCCCACTAAATATGTCAGGACATTACAAAATGAAGAAACTGTTTGCATCTTTCCATCTTTTGCAGCACTGAGGTCTTGGAATGACAACAATTGTGACAAGGCCTTTCCATTCGTCTGTAAGATTCCTACACTGGAAAACTAACCTCAGAGCTAAGATTGTTTATCCAGTTCTTTATCGTCAACACTGACACCCAACATCTCTCAATCACAGTGCAGCAACAAGATGTCCACTCATCTCCATCCCTGCAGTGATGAAGGACTCTCTCCAGCCTGCTATAGGCACTTCATTTGCATTTCTCTCCCCTTCACTCCAATTCCCTGCCCCCATCGTCCTCCTATCACTGTTGTATATATGTGTATATATACAGTGGGTACGGAAAGTATTCAGACCGAATACTTTCCGTACCCACTGTATATTTTTGCAGAAATGCCATAGAAGAAACATTTTTGCTTTCCCAAATAACCTTTCAGTGACTAGTTCTTAAAAGAAGCATTTGTTTCTTTGGCAAACATTTTAATAATCTAAAGAGAATCTTTTGTGGAATGGAAAGCTTCCATGAATGTTAAAGGGGTCATATGATGCGATTTAAAGTTTTCCTTTCTCCTTCATGGAACTATAGAAGCCAGTAAAGAACTTTTATTTTTAGTGTAGATAATGAGCTGCAATATATGGCTAAACTGAACTAGACTGAATGCTTAGTGTTTTTTCGCCCCCACCCAATCATCTGGCCATTAATCCCAGACATTATTTTCTTCTTTTCAAATAGGGTACTTTTGCTGGAGACCCCATGATTTTATAAAAAGTCAGAAAATGTCTCTTGTTTTTGATAGAATGCGTATTTTTCGTTTCTTGCAGACCTTGAGACAGGAATGTGTGTGTCCATATAATGACTCCTGAGTCTTGATCTGGAATCCTAAACACTGTCAGTGTCCGTCTGTGCACATTTTTCTGTCTCTGACCTAGAAGGTGAGATTCTAAAAGAGAAGGCATTTAAGCCTCTGTTGACTGCAGAGCTTCAAAAGACAGAAAGAGCTTAACCTCAGCTAGGCAGATGACCTTTTCTGCTTTTCTCTCTAGTTCATATGCTGTGCCAATTAGTGACCCCCCCCCCCCAAAAAAACTCTATTCTTATCCACACAAGTTTCTGCTAGCAAGGAATTTACTATATTACACTTATAATTCAACACTGTCACGAAATAGATAAGTTTAACAATAATAAATAATAATAACATAATTGTCACTAATTGTGACCCTGGGGCACAAAACCAGTCTTAAGTCACTGGGGCATATTTGTAGCAATAGCCAAAAATACATTGTATGAGTCAAAATGATTGATTTTTCTTTTATGTCAAAAATCATTACGATATTAAGTAAAGATCATGTTCCATGAAGATATTTAGTAAATTTCCTACCGTACATATATCAAAACTTAATTATTGATTAGTAATATGCATTGCTAAGAACTTCATTTGGACAACTTTAAAGGCGATTTTCTCAATATTTAGATTTTTTTGCACCCTCAGATTCCAGATTTTCAAATGGATGCATCTCGACCACATATTGTCCAATCCTAACAAACCATACATCAGTGGAAAGCTTATTTATTCAGCTTTCAGATGATGTATAAACCTAAATTTCGAAAAATTGACCCTTATGACTGGGTTTGTGCTCCAGGGTCACAATTATGCTTATTTATTTAGAATATACCTCAATATTTAGAAAACATTTTATATTATGGGGCTGTTCACAAAGAACACGTTTTTGTTTTCCACTGTGCTTTTCCATTGTTTTTATGCAAACATGTGCTAAATGATATCTTTGACCATTGCACTTGTTTCTTTTTTGCATTGTCTCATGCATGGCACACTGCTTTATGGGAAAATTAAGTACATGGACCATAAAAGTTAATTTATGAAATATAAGTTTTTGTTATGAGATTTTAAAGTTTTCATTTCAAAACCTCAACTTTAATTGCCTTTCTGGATGGGAATTTTGTCTTGAAATATGTCAAGAGGAAAATTCAATTTGTAAATTCGTAAACAAGGTAGTTTTGAAGATTATATGCCTGACCCATGTGGACAGTGGGGTTAAGCTGTTCCCCTGTTGCTGAAGAGAGTAATTAATTGACCCTCTTGTAAACCTCGAGTAATTATCTCCCTCTTAAGGCCTGCAGAGGGAACTTTTTTACACAAACAAGCCTGAATCCTTTTTGTGTGTGTGTGTGTGTGTGTGTGTTTGTGATTTAATTAGTGTATTACCATCACTGCAATTGCAAAATGGCTTAAACAAATATTTCAAATGAATAACAGAGGGATAGTTCACTCATTTTTTTTAAATGATCCAGTGATTTTAGACATTACTGATGTCCAATCTGCACCAAAGTGCAGGTATATAAAATATGAAAGGTATAAGAAGATTCCATAAAAATTTCTTCTATAAAAATAAAAAGCATACTAAAAGAGAAAAGTCCAGTAATAAACGTCACTTTAATGCATTATGGAACAACCAAAATACACTTTCCTCACTTAATACATGTCTCTGATTGATTCACACATTACAGTCTCTGTGAAAGAGACCTTTAAAGGGATTCTGCTGATCAGAGGTCTGCTTCATTTCTTCTCACACTTAATAAACCATTACATGAACAGCATCAGCGGAACAAACTCTCAGACGTTTCAGAGCAGACAGGGAGATGGTGGACTAAACATTCTTTTGTTTAGAATATAATGAAGACAGTTAAAAACAGTCACCCTTGAAACCAAAATCTTTCTGTCAGTGAAGTCATTTGAACTGCTTTTTTAAAATCATGATTTATCTATATTCTATTTCATCTATATTGCAACATGCTTTGTTCAATTCTCTGTACACAATTTAAGTTATAAATATATACAGATATGTTTCAGAGATAATTATATAGCTATGATTATATGCATTTTTAAAAATCTAAATAAATAAATAAATACATGTCTTCACTGGCACAGCTTCATTATTATTACGTGTTAATATTACCACTCTAATCATTTGTAATCATCTACATTAACATTGACAGTGGTGGAAACATACAGCTGACCTGAAACAAACACTTATCTCGCACAGGTCACACAGAAGAAAGATTAAGAAGACAGATACAGTAATGTTTCTGATTGCACTTCGATTCTATGCTAAGTACATGCTTTCCCCCCTAAACGTATCCTATTTATGCTTACATACGTCATAGACTGACTGAGAAAGAGTTGAGACAAAATACAGCTCCAAGATGTTGATAATACAGTACATGAAGTGAACTTGGCAAAAGCGTGGCGTGAAGGCAACAGTGCAAAGAGAAATGCATGTATCTGCACCTTCTTGGCATGGCATTATATTGCTCAAGCTGTGAAAGCATGTTCACATGTGCAGACACTAACACTAATGCATTTACAAGGGGATCTAAACATCTACAGAAGCCTTAAGAAGCCATATATTATTATTTCAAGTTTAAAAAAAGAATAATAACATCACTCCTGAGCGATCTAAAAAAAAAAAAACTATGTGTGTGTGTGTGTATATATATATATATATATTATACATACTGTATAACACACATACATATATAATATTTTACATAGTATCTCGTATGCTCAGCAATGCTGCATTTATTTTCTCAAAAATACAGTAAAACAGTAATATTGTGAAATATATTTACAATTAAAGAGTTTTCTATTTGAATATATTTTAAAATGTAATTTATTCCTGTGATTCAAAGCTGAATTTTCAGTCACATGATCCTTCAGAAAGCATTCTAATATGCTGCTTATTTTATTTGTGTATAAACCATGATACACATTTTTTTTATCATACACATTTTAAAAGAACAAAATTGTTTGAAATAGAAATGAATGTTTTTGATGAATTGAATGCATCCTCGCTGAAAAAACATACTAATTTCTTAAAAACAAAAATAAAATCTTCCTGAACCCAAACTTTTGTGATGTTTGAGAGACGACATGAGAAATAATAACAAGATGCAGAAAAATCACAAGAAAACTAAAAATCTTTAAAAAATATAAAAATTAAATAATGCATGGCCTCTTAGGGTTTCTGTAGACTTCAGCTGCCATAAGTGCAAACATTTACCAAACGCACACTCACAAACACTTAAACACAATCAATGATCAATACGTGCATGAAGAACAGTGATACGGGTCACAAAACTCAACCAAACCAAGCTTTGGTGTAAAATCGCACTTGAAACATTCAAAGCAGACAATAAAAATGACCAACTGTGTTGCCACAGATTTCCAACTACTTCAAGAACTGCAATCATATTGAAGTCTGAAAAAAGAAACAATATGATTATTAAAACACTGCAGACCAAACCAGTGGTTAGGTATGGTCTCAACTGCCTGAGCCTCACAGCCTGAACGCAGCCGAGGATCAGATGATGATGAGATTACTGAGCTCCCATGTAAGATAGTATCAATGTGATAAAAAGAAAACATGGACAGCAGGCTTCTGCTCGTCATCAGAAACAGAGAAACTCTCTGCGGTCTTTTCTACGGTCTATATCTCCTCATTATAATAATGGTAAGGGAGAGTGAACACAAATAACACCAAGACAGAGCCAACTATTCTATAGAGAATAGATCTATTAGTTTATGTTTCATACCAATATAAATTATACATAGAACCACCAGGAAACTCCTAGATGGTTGTGTCTTAAGTTGTAGGTTAAAGTTCTTTTCCATAGATCTCTATCCCACCTGCAGTGACTGTCCTGTGTTAGTATTATGTGACCTCGAGCGAAGCCGGAGAGACGCGGTCACACTCGGCACGGGAGCGCAGGCTGTGCCACTGTTCCACCGGGGTGCGCTGAGAGCCCAGGAGCCGGCGCCAATGCGTGGTTTCCTGCGGGCCGGTGGAGAACTGGCCGATGACAATGCGACCAACAAAATCGTTGCTACTCTTCACGTTATGCCCGTAAACTAAGAAGGAAAAAAACATAAATATCAATGTTAAAACCAGTCGGATTAAGACAGTCTGTTTTCTCCAGAGCTGATTTATAGATGAATTAAAGTCATTCCATAATTGATGAAAATTACACAGTTATTGAACCAAACTGAATCAACAATGAGCTGATTTCAACTGAATAATGACTGTTTACTGTCTTTGTAGCACTGCTTTACAGCAGAGTTGAATTCTGTTTGCATTATTGAATCATGATTCTTCTGTTTATTAATGTAAAGCTGCATTAAAACTGTAATGTATAAGTAAAGTTAATAAAAACATTTTATTAGCAATAATGGCTGCTTGGAGTTTCCGTATTATGAATTGTAAATGAATTAAGCTTTTCCCTCTCCATTCACTATTTTAAGACCCTCTTTTACATACGAAAAACTAAAGATCATAAAAAACATGAAATAAACTGAAATACGATATTTAAAAATATTACAAAAATGTTGAAATAACTGAAACTAAACCTAAAAACTAAAACTATATTAAGGAAACACAAAAATAAAAAACTATATCCATATTAAAAAAAAACTAATATAAATGACAAAACACAATTCTTAAAACTTGAACTAAAATATAAATATAATATATATATAAAAAATTAATTAAATGTATTAACAAAAACTATAAACTGTAAATCAATCTTACAACAATAATAGTAACACCAATGTGTCCTCTCTTTTCTTTGGCTTATTATTCATGCCAATCTGTTTTTCTCTGCCTCAGTCCAATTCTGTTAATGGAGTCGGGTCAGAGTACGAGGTTAATTTCATCATTGCTCATAAACAAGACTGAAGACTGTTCTTCTCTGTGATTGTTCCCTCTTTCCTGTAACTGGCAGTGGAGTGCTGGGAAAATAGCAGGAAGTGCAAATAATTTTGCCACAAAGTCCAGATGTGGCAGTCAATGATGCAGCCGCATTCCAGACAAGGATCTCGCAGCATCACGACTTCAGCTGCAGACCAGAGCTGGTGATACGCCGTCACCAAGCAACATCAGCTCTCGAGAAGCGAGAGTCACGTCTGGCTGTACAAGAAAATGTTTTGTATTGATTTTACGTTTTTATTTATGCACAAGTAACACGGAAAACATCCCATAAAGATAAAAAGAATGGGAGACACGCCTATTTATAGTGGAGAGCTGCTTTGAGAACCCTCAGATTGGATCAGCAGATGCTTTTGGTGTGTGCACACACACACACCATAATATCTTCAATGAATCAGTTGATTCAGTTCATAAAACCATTGTGAATCACTCAGCGAATGATTGAAAGATAATGAGTCAAGTTTGAGTTCAAGTCCAAGACTTAAAGATGCTGTCACGATGGTTAACAGTAGGGAAGATCAGTGAAAAAAAGACAAGAAATTAAAGTACATTTGAGTCAGTTCTTTAGAAGACTTGGAATGTAGTGCACAAGCTGAATGAATCACATTTATGATACTTTTATGATGTGCTTTTGCCAGTGTTATTTAAGTGTCACTGAGATACTAATACAGTTTATTAATATTTTGAATATGATTTTATTTTTATATTTTCTGATTTGACTTTTAGTTCAAGTTTTAGTCATTTTATTGCATGTTTTCATCATTTTTTCAAGTCCATATAGCTTTTAATATGTTTTTCAGTTTTAGTTATTTTAGTACATCAAGTTAATCTAACTGAAACTGAGAAATGTATCCAATTAGCTTAATAAAAAAAAAGTTTAAAAAAATATATATGGTTTATTTCAGTTAACATTTATTTTATTTTGAGTAATGAGAGAGCTATTTTATGGTTTTATTTTACAATAACTACAATAACCCTGGCTTTTGCATCCTTTTTTAAGTTTAAAAGCTCAGTTCCCCTTCAATGTAACTGCATGGAAATGAGTAATCAGCATGTTATCCAAAATGTATTCAAAGTCAAACGTGTTTGGAAAAACATGAGGGTGAATAAATGATGACAGAATCTTCATTTGTGACTTTTTCTCTTGACTATTTCTGTCCAGTAGGAATAATTGAAATAATCCCACCTGTTGATATTAAAGTTAAATGAAAATTATGTCATCATTAACTCACCCTCATGTCGTTCCAAACCTGTATGAGTTGCTTTCTTATGTTGAACACAAAAGAAGATATTTTGAAGATTGCTGGTAATCAAACAGGTTTCCCCCCCCCTACTATGGAAGTCAATGGCAACCACCAACTGTTTGATTACCAGCAATCTTCAAAATATCTTCTTTTGTGTTCAACATAAGAAAGCAACTCATACAGGTTTGGAATGACATGAGGGTGAGTAAATGACAGAATTTTAATTTTAGGGTGAACTATCCCTTTAAACTTTCTTCTATGTATAATCCTAGAATTCAAATAAAAGAGTTTGTTAAACCATATTCATCTGTCTTCATGCTTTGCAAAATACATGTCAGTTAGAAGACAAACACTGAGCTGTGTGGATGGCTGACATCATGAGCTGGAAGCAAAGACACAGGCGTGGTGTGTGTTGCACTGCACTCGCTCTGTTGAGCTGATCACATCGCCAGCTATGACACATTCAACGGTCCTGAGGGAACTCTGCTGCTCGGGGCTCGTTCATATTTGATAAAACCACAACTGTGATGAGGTACAGATCATTACTGCTGCTTCAGAATGGGAAATACTGAGGCAAAGGCATCAAGGGTTATCTTATAATGCATGAATGTCTCCTACTCCAAATGCACAATCATGTTTCAAAGGAAGCGTATTTGAAAAGTGAAGTTAAGGGAAATCTCCAGCTCAAAACATAACCAACATGAATTATGCTGAGATGCTGACCTAAACACACTATCATTTACCCTCTAAATATCTGATTACTTTATTCTAAAACACTGGATGTTAGTATTGTATTAAAATAATAATAAAATAATAATAAAAATGATTAATGTAGTGTTCATATTATTAGGGGTTCAAGCACGAAGTGCTGAAACCCTATTGTAATTGTTAGGATTTAAAATTTTTTTTTAATTATTATTCTTCTCCCCTAAAACTGATCGTGCAGACCAAACCGTAAGGCCTAGAGACTTGAAACTTGGCCAAATGATAGAGCTCAATTTGGGGAGAACCTATCAAAGTCTCAGCCCAATCGGCCAATAGGTGGTGCTACAGCGCAAAAACCAAAAATTTCAGACATTTTTGGCCCTAACTCGTGCACCTTTTGTCGTAGACTCAAAAATTTTACATCGTTGCGATCCTTGGGTCAGCCCGACTGTAGTCACTAAGATTTTCTCTAGGACACACGGTTTTTCCGTAAAATTGACCTATATCCCAAACTTACTTTTGCGAACTAGTCCTAGGTTTTTCGCCTGATCGGAACCAAACCACTGCAAAAATATTCGGTGGACATTGAATATCAATAATTATCAAAAAAAAGTTGAAATTCCGATTGTTGCGCGAAACCATTCCCCAAAAAGCGTCTATGCTAACGTTAGCCAAATGTTATTTTAGCTATAACTCTTGAACGGAATGAGATATCTTCACCAAACTCGGTACACATATGTATGAGCTCAATCTTTGGTCAAATAAAAAAAATTGCGCAGCTCTGCCACTTGGGGGCGCTATAAGACAGAAAAAAACATAAATTCAGCTATAACTATGCAGCCGTTGGTCTGATCGACTTGAAAATTGGTACGCAGCGTCTTGGTCTAAAGTGGCACGAGTGCCTATGAGGATATTTGCATATCTCAAAAAACATGGCCGCCATTGGCCAAAATCTTTTAAGCACCTATTTGACGGGGTTTACGGAGGTCGATCGGAACGAAACTCGGTGGGCATGTTCGACACATGGTCCTAAAGGTCTGTAAGAATTTTTAAAGAAATCAGCCACTGGGGGGCGAAACTGCGTTTTTCAAGTGCGTAAACGATTGTATGTTGCACGATTTTTCACACATTAACACAATATGCATATCATTTGATAGATCTCCACATAATGAGCAACTTTGCCTCAAGAACCATTGCTGTCAATCAAATCGTTCATTAATTATTCACAAATATGTTAAAAACCTACTTTTGCAAACTAGTCCTAGGTTTTTTGCTCAATCTCGATCAAACAACTGCAGCACAATTCTCTGGACTCTCTAGATCAATAATTAACAAAAAAATGTTGAATTTTGTTCTTCACTTACTTTTTAACGGTGTCATTTAGAGAAGGGGCGTGGCCAAAAATACCCAAATGCCTATAAAACCTAAACAAAAACTCAAAACTTTACGAAACTTGGTGAAAACATGTGTCTGATAATTCTTAACAAGCAAGCAAAGTTTCATGAATATCGGACCATAGGTGGCGCCATGTTAACAAAATCTTTTTCCTTATGTGCTTAAATGCCTTAACTGCTTGAAACCCGGTAATCGCTGCTTGCAGCTATATTTGTAGTTGTTATTGTTACTATTATAATTGTATTTTTATTATTAGAATGTTAACTAAACTGATATCTGATTACTTGATTAAAAAAAAAAACCCCGGATGTTTGTATCATATTTTCATAAAAAATGTTTTAGTTGTAATAATAATAATAATAATAATAATAATACAGACTACATTAATTATTTTAGAGTATTATTAGTAGTAATATTATTAAAATATAACAAACATGCAGTTTTTTAAATAATGTAATCAGATATTACTTTAGTTAACATTCTAATAATAAAACTATCTTATTAGTTATATAATTATATTATTAAAATATATGTAATAACAATTAATATAATACTGATACTACTACTACTGCTAATAATAAAATGTTAATTTCGTGTTACAAATTAATAATACATTTTTATTATTAGAATGTTAACTAAAGTAATATCTGACTACATTATTTTAAAAAGACTGGATATTTGTGTTATGTCTTAATAATATTACTAATGACAATAAAGCAATAATTAATGTAGTCTTTATTATTTATTTATTTATTTTCTATTATTAGAAAGGTAACTAAACTAAAATCTCATTACCTTAGTAATGAATGTTTGTATTATATGCAGTATACTCATGCAAATACATTTATGCTGCTTAGGTACTTTAATAAAAAGTCTGTGTAAACACATTATAAAATAAATAAAACGGTTCAAAAGTCGCAGACCACTAGTTAAAGCACTCCACCTATGATTATGGGTACTGGGCACAAATTTGACCCCTTCCAATGTGCATAGTTGCCTGATGGGATTCATGTTGAACAGAGCCAGAAGATCTGTTTCCACTCACTGCTTATGGATAGCATATGGACAGAACACCACCATTAAATTCCCATTAACTGCTCTGTTAGTGGGATCCTTCAGTTAGTGATACTTGTGAAAAATGACACTAGGAATTGCAAAGAAATAAAAGTAAAATAACTGATAAAAAAGAATGTGCTAAAGAAGAGCAAGGGATACATAGAGAGAGAGAGAGTCTCATCAAACAGACCAGGAGTGAGAGACAGAGGCCAAGCAGGGGTGGGATTGCAGGCAGTGTTTGACTGCAGGGCTTTGTAGTCTGAAACATCAGAGAGAAGCGGTGGGCAGGCAGCCCTGGATGGTACGACTGGGGAGAGACACATGCTGACCAGCCTAGATGGGGTACAGGAGGCTGCACTCACCCTTTAGCGTGAGATATACCTGTTTGTAAACATCACTGTTGACTTAGCACTGATTAAACCTGAGTAAACCAGCATAAACTACTCGTTGGGCTGGGCTTACTGCTCTATACTGTCTCAAATGGCAGGTTATGAGTGCAGGCCACCATCAGCTCTGTGCAATCACGGTGCATGGCGAGTGCAAATATTAAATGTCAGTGTGTACCAGTGCATAAAATCTCTGCATGAGCAACTGTCCGGGTCAGCTTCTGACTGGCAGCATCTGTAATTGAATAAATCCTATTGGAATTTAAATGAATCTTAATGAGGTGCCCTGGGTCACAAGCTAGATTACACTAATTGTGAGGAATTGCTACATGTCACCTGGTTAAAATTGGCATGTTCTACCCTGGAGATGTGGCTTTTCACCTTTACTGCATTAGGTATCCAACAAGACAATTTCAACTGTTATGAATAGGCTGTGAATTTGGATTAATGGATTAATTTAGTGTCATTGGAAAAATAGCTTTCAAAAGTTAGGGGTTGGTATGATTTTTAAAAATGTTTTTAGAGAAGTCTTTTATGCTCACCAAGGCTACATTTATTTGAGCAAAAATACAGTACAAACATATTGTGAAATATCATTACAAATGAACTGCTTTTATATTTTAATATATTTTTTTAAACGTCATTTATTCCTGTGATGGCAAAGCTGAATTTTTAGGAGCCATTACTCCAGACTTCAGTGTCACGTGATCCTTCGGAAATCCTTCTAATACGCTCAAAACATTTCTTATTATTATCGATGTTGAAAAGACTTGTGCTGCTTAATAATTTCAAAACAATACCTGTGAACACAAGACTGACTTCACACAGTTCCTCTTGAGGTACACGGAAGCTAAAGGACTCGTTGTAGCAGGGGTCAATGGTGCCCCTCATACAGGACGTCTTCTTAGTCTTCATCAACTTAAGGCCTGTCACCAACTGCACCTTAACAAAAGGATCTGGATACAGAGAAGAAACAACTGGGTTGAAGTTAACATGAATTGCTTTCTGAAACTAATTTCGTTTTTGTGATGTAGCATATTTCTCAGTGAAACAGGATACTCAGTGGGGGAAAAAATCTGGGCATACAATCTTGATTTTATCCATCAGGAACTGATTAGATCATGAAAGTGTACATTACATACCAAAATGGAGCAAGACCAATAGCGAATTTGCTAAAACAAAGATTAAATAGCTATTTGACTATTGGTTAAATTTATCACATGGCCAAAGTGATATTCGCATAAAAGGAAAGTTGTTTCAGAGACAAAGCAAGTTATTCCATCACTATACTTAGACAATACTTACATAGATTTCTGTAGTCACTGAAGCTCTGCTACAAGTGCTCTGAAATTGTAGAGAGTGGAGTGAGCAAAACACACTAAATATATTTACCCGAGCCTTGGCACATGTCCGTCTGAAGCAGCTGCTTTGCTCGGATGATGTCCACATTTAACCTACCAGCACTGGGCAGGTAGTTTAAGGACAGAAGAAGCTCACCAAGCTCAACCTCATTCTGAAAAACATCACACTGAGAAATCAATCAAGTCTTGATAATGATGTCAGCAAATTAATGCGTTGTGCATCTTTTTAAGTGTCAAAGACTGCAATTAAAGCTCAACAATGAAAACCTTTCTACATGAAAAAGTATCTGGGTTCGTCTAATAGTTTCCTAATATTAATAATATAATTTGGAACAGACACAAATACACTACCATTGAAATGTTTGGGTACATTAATTTTTTTCTCTATGAATTGAGTGCTTTTATTTAGCAATGATTAAATTAAAAGTGTCAGTAAACACTTTCATAATGTTACAAAACATTTATATTTCTAATAAATGCTCTTCTTTTGAACTTTCTAGTCATCAGAGAATCCTGAAAAAAATCATTCAATTTATTACAAAAATATTAAGCAACTCTTTTCAACATTGATACTAATAAGAAATGTTTCTTGAGCAGCAAATCATCATTCTAGAATGATTTCTGAAGGATCATGTGACACTGAAGACTGGAGTAAGGATGCTGAAAATTCAGCTTTGCACAACAGGAATAAATGTGACCCTGGTCCACAAACCCAGTCATAAGGGTACATTTTTTGAAATTGAGATTTATACATCATCTGAAAGCTGGATAAATAAGCTTTCCATTGATGTATGGTTTGTTAGGATAGGACAATATTTGGCCGAGATACAACTATTTGAAAATCTGGAATCTGAATATAATCTGAAACAAAATCTAAATATATTGAGAAAATCGCCTTTAAAGTTGCCCAAATTAAGTTCTTAGCAATGCATATTACAAAATATCTTTATTTAACATGATCTTTACTTAATATCCTAATGATTTCTGGCATTAAAAAAATCGATAATTTTGACCCATACAATGTATTGTTGGCTATTGCTACAAATATAGCCCAGCGACTTAAGACTGGTTTTGTGGTCTAGGGTCACAAATTACATTTTAAAATATATATAAAAAGAAAACAGTCATTTTAAATTGTAATAATATTTCACAATATTACTGTTTTTACTGTATTTGTGATCAAATAAACACATCCTAAACACAGAGCTGGGGCAAGAAATATTTAGGAGTACTATGGTGTGCATACTTATAAGGCAGGACATTCTGAAGTATGGCTACAATGATTTCACATTTTACTAAATTGCTTAATTTAATTCTGTGTGACCTAACTTCTCAGTTATTGTGCAAGCGCCACACCTAAAATGACTGAAAAATAAACAATGTGACTCAGGCAAGTGGTATTACCTGAGAGCTGGGCACCAGGGCCTTCCACCAGTGTCCTCCCTTCACTAGATCAACCTCATTAAGAGGAAGAGACACTTTCCCGATGACGCAGTGCCGTGAAAACTTGTCAAAGTCGACCACGGAGAGCAGTAGGGTGCGTCTCTGTGCCTCCAGGAAGGGGACCTCAAAAGTGAAACGCTCTTCAAAAACCGGGTTCTGGGTCTTGCGTTTAACGCCGGTCTGCCTGGAGTTCTTGTGGTCGGGCAGTAGGCTCATCTTCACGTAGGGGTTGGAGTGGGCCATGTCTTGGCGAGCACCATCGCATGTTACAGGAGGGGGCAGGTCCCGGGCCTCGATGACTCGCACGGTGAGGTGAGCGTTGATGAGATCGTACTGTGTGCTGAAGTGCAGCATGCCCAGTTGGTAGCGCCCCAGGATCTCCTCATCCGTCAGAGAGTCAACATCATCGCTGCAGGAGTCTAGAGAATACAGATGGGGCTCCAGTTTGCGGAAGTAGTCATCTGGCGGTGTTGGGGGCTTGCGCAGGGGCTGCACCACTTCCTTCCGGGGTCCCATGGCCCAAAATTCAATCGGCTTTACATCCACCATGGGGGAGCTTGGCCGTCGGGCGTTCAGACCTGCAAAATGGGAGAGCCATTCGGCGAAATTCAAGCAGTCATTCTATTCTGTATAAATTGAGAGTTGAGTCTGGACTCACTGGAGAGCTGG